TTCCACCACATTGTTACCATGTTGATTCCACCATACTGTTACCATGTTGAATCCACCATTCTGTCACCATGTTGATTCCACCACATTGTTACCATGTTGATTCCACCATACTGTTACCATGTTGATTTCACCATTCTGGTACTGTGTGTTGATTCCGCCATTCTGGTTGTCTGTTTTGATTCCAACATTCCGTTACTGTGTGTTGATCCGACCATTCTGTTACTGTGTTTTGATTCCACCATTTTGGTACTATGTGTTGATACTACCATTCTGGTACTGTGTGTTGATTCGACCATTCTGGTACTGTGTGTTGATTCTACCATTTTGGTACTGTGTGTTGATTCCACCATTCTGGTTCTCTGTGTTGATACAACCATTCTGATACTGTGTGTTGATACAACCATTCTGTTACCATTGTTAATTCCTCCATTGTTAATTCCTCCATTCTGTCACCATGTTGATTCCACTATACTGTTACCATGTTGATTCCACCAAACTATTACCAGGTTGATTTCACCACTCTGGTACTGTGTGTTGATTCCACCATTCTAGTACTGTGTGTTGATTCCACCATTCTAGTATTGTGTGTTGATTCTACCATTTTGGTACTGTGTGTTGATTCCACCATTCTGGTTCTCTGTGTTGATTCCATCATTCTGATACTGTGTGTTGATACAACCATTCTGTTGCCATGTTAATTTCTCTATTCTGTTACCATGTTAATTCCTCCATTCTGTCACCATGTTAATTCCTCCATTCTGTCACCATGTTAATTCCTCCATTCTGTCACCATGTTGATTCCATCATACTGTTACCATGTTGATTCGACCATTCTGGTACTGTGTGTTTTTTTCACCACTCTGGTACTGTGTGTTTTTTTCACTCTGGTACTGTGTCTTGATTCCAACATTCTGGTACTGTGTGTGGATTTCACCATGGTACTTCTGTTACCATGTTAATTCCTCCATTCTGTTACCATGTTAATTCCTCCATTCTGTCACCATGTTAATTCCTCCATTCTGTCACCATGTTAATTCCTCCATTCTGTCACCATGTTGATTCCATCATACTGTTACCATGTTGATTCGACCATTCTGGTACTGTGTGTTTTTTTCACCACTCTGGTACTGTGTGTTTTTTTCACCACTCTGGTACTGTGTGTTTTTTCACCATTCTGGTACTGTGTGTTGATTTCACCACTCTAGTACTGTGTCTTGATTCCAACATTCTGGTACTGTGTGTGGATTTCACCATTCTGGTACTGTGTGTGGATTT